CACAGCAGTAAGATGAACCTTGACAATCCTTATTAGCCAGAGTAGTTAAATGGAACATCTTTATAACACAGAATGCTTCTAAGTTCCTTCCAGATATGAAAGAGAAACATGTTGTGTAAAGCAAAAGCTATATTTCCGTGATCATTTATAACATCTGAATAAATATTTGTCAGTCTCTTATTGCAAACAGATTGTGTCTGGGTCAGACTTATTTATTGTCAGTTTACTGTCAGTACGCAAGGATTCCTAGTCAAGGAATCACCAAGATCACTGCCAGCAATACTCACAGAGCCATGATTTTATATACAGGGCAAGCCACTAGTATATAAAATGAGAGCAAACCCAGCTCCCTTTTAACACTGATGATGTTATGTAGTTTGGTAATGAGACATCTGCAAGAAAACAACCAACCTCAGAGAACACCAAGGACCCCACAGTTCAATCCTCACTGCAAACATTCTCTTCCATTGAAAACCCTTCTATCTTATACAATAGGTGATTACTGCATAATGAGGGCAAGAGGACACAATTTTACTGTGATATGAACTACATGTTATGGCGTTGCAAGTAACAAAGGCGGAGGTTTGTGCTATTCACGCATATTTTGGGCATTTCTTTTATCACTGTGGTTTGTACCAGGTGCCTATGGTTGCAGTGATCTTCAGCATTATTAACACAGGGAAAACCAAAAGGTTGTGTAGAACCTATTAGCAAGAGCTACCTTTGCTGCCATCTATCAGAAAAGATTAGGCCATTGTATAAAGATGTTCTATCCCACATCACTCATTCTCCACATTTCTCCCAATTCCTGCTGTAGATACCAACTATCTGAGACAGGGGTCCATGTGAGGCAGTCATTTAAAGACAGCATTTAAAGAGAGGTCTTCATGAGTAATTTACAAGCTTTGATTCAACATTTATTCCAAACTCATTTTATTTAATATGAAAGGAGTGTGTCTATGAAAAAAAATACTCCCAAATGTCAAGTAGGAGCAAATGGCCGTGCAATATTGAAATCCCAAAACAGAGACTATCATTAATAAAATTTGACATGATTAGGTGTGAATTGTAACAGAAAAATAGCAATGAATGTATTAATTCACACTTGCAATGTTTTGTGCTAGGATCAATTTTGGGTTATAAATATAATACAAAAGCTGCAATTTTATATCTCGTAACAGAAAAGCTAAGGCTGTATAGGATTGGAAGGGAAAATGGGGTTTCAGAGCACTAGAACTCTCATATCACTTATCTGCAGCTCTTTAAAACAGTTGTATCTCTTCCCAGCTGTCATCTGCAGTTGCAGTGTGATTCTAGGAAATGATGTATTTTAAGAAGATACACATGCTACATAGCTAATCCTATGTGCTTCCTTTCAAAGCACTGCATGGTCCTTATAAAGATCTGGAAGGCAACAGGTTAGTGTCAAACCATTTTCACTGCCTTCAAAGCATCAGATAGGAGCCAGTTTGGTGAAGTGGTTAAGGCACTTGGTTAGAAACCAGGAGACTATGAGTTCTAATCTAGTTCTAGTTCTCAGCCCGAGGAAAAAGCAATGACAAAACACTTCTAAAAATCTTGTCAATAGAGACTTGTTCGGGAATCAAGATTGACTTAAGGCAGGGGTGTCAAACTGCCAGCCCGCAGGCCGGATGCGTCATGGCGAAACCGCACCCACCCCATTGCCAGCAATGTGCAATATGTCATGACACATCACGTGAGGTTGCGAGTTTGACACCCCTGACTTAAGGCATGCATACATGAAAATGCATCAGGTTACATTTGAAGTGACCCACATGGTTTCTCATTTGAAGCCCTATACAAAATGAAAATCCTGTTCTAGGCTGTGGACCATGGGAGGAAACCTTCCACAGTAATAAACTGGAGATAATCCAGATGAAGGCTATAGTGGAGGACAAAAAATTAAAGCTTGTTTGTCACATTCTTACTAATATCAGTTTCCATGCTGGTAAATTATGAATGGAAATGCTTGAATTCATATAATTATATAATTAATATGTGTTACTTAGCACTAAGCTATATCCATCACCGTAACACTTTCCATTAACCGATATGATTCATTTAGAGGTATTTCTTACAATAGTCCCAGTTATATTGTTTTTTGGAAATGGCATCTTTGTTTATTGATATTTGTATCACTAAAAACTTAAGAAAATAAGACAAATGGGTCTTCTATTTCAATATTTGATATTCTGCTTCAAACTATATTTGATATTAGTAGTTAATTTCATCTTTCAGTTAGACAAAATGGCCAGTTTATTCTCTAGTCACATTCTTATTCTGTTCAATCTGAAACAAAGGATTAACTGACAGGGTTGCTATAAAAAACCCAGCCAATATTATCAGCTTAAGTAAGTTGTGTACACACATATAAAATCCTTTTAAATAGGAATGGGAGTGATTGGGAAATGGGACTAAGAATATACTATTTAGAAAAGGAAATAGGCAAGATTGGAAAAGATAATTACAGACAGGCTTAACAAAAAAGTCTATGCAACTTGGAAAGAATTGAATAATTGTGCAGTAATTAAAACAATTCTTTGTTCTTTCTCAGAAGAAAAAAAATAAGAAAGCTGATTTTAGTTTAAAAATGAACCTTGATGGCTGAAATATTTTTTTTTACCTGTTAAATTATTTACTTTTGCACAAAGGATATAAATACTAACTGGTAATCTAAGGTTCATATCTGCTCAAGAATCAGTAAATAAAACCAAGTTGTTTTACCTGTATGTGTCATATGGTCTGGTACAATGTTGCTCAGGTCAGAACTAAGGATTAAGTTCATGTATGATAGGTGCTACCTATATCCTAATCTCTTAATCTATTCTCATCTAATAATCCAAAACATGTGAGTAAACATATTAACAGTGTCCACCCTTGTTCATTTCCTCATAAACTGAAGATTGCGGACTTTAATAGATTTTTTTTAAAGAAATACCCGCCATCTCATATGTTGTCACACAGGGTTTTCATAGAAATGTATATGTGAGATTATCCATTTCTTTGTTCAGTGAGTTATGCAATGAGAACCTGCTATAACACTGTAATGAAATAGAATTCATTATTTAATTTTATTTACCATGTTTATATAGCAATAGCACTTAAACTTATATACCACTTACAGTGCTTTATAGTCCTCTTTTAAGCGGTTTACAGAGTCATCATATTGCCCCCAACAATCTGGGTCCTCATTTTACCGACCTCGGCAGGATGAAAGACTGAGTCAACTTTGAGCCGTTAAGAATCGAACTGCCAAACTCCTGGCAATTGGCAGTCAGCAGAATTAGCCTACAGTACTGCATTCTAACCACTGCGCCGCCATGGCTCTTCGATATGGCACTCCAACAAACGATTTAAATTGAATAGTTTATGACCTAAAGCAATGTTCAACTGTTCTTGCCATTAGATGGATTCCTCTGAAGTTCAGCCAAATTCTGATTTTCTGCAATTCCAGTCATTGGTTCTATATTCCAGAACAGCAAATTCTAACTTTTTTGAAAGCTGCTTCCTTTTATAACTGCTGAATATCTGAAAAATCTGCTACTCCTGTTGACACAAGTTGAAGATGTTAAGAAATGCTTTGTCCATTCAGACTTTTGAAAACAAATCATTATTGTTCCAGCCCTTGAACACTTAAAAATGAGATTATTTTTTTTTAAAAAAGACTAGGTCATTGAGATGTAAAGAAAAAACACAAAAGAAGGTAGAAGCAGAACACTTCTTTATTGCTGCCGAGAAAACAACATGGATGGGTTCAAGTGGTCATCATGAATTGAGCAAAGGACTTTACTATCATGTGTATAGATGTAAAAGATGCAGATAATTTGCTACTACTTTTTTTTAAGGGTAGAAATACACACTCTCCCATTATTTTCATTTTCTTTTGTATTTTATATTCTGAAAAACTAATAAAATTTTGAAAACAAAAAACCACAAAAGAATAAATCATTCTTTTTATCAAGAGATTTACATCAGGAATACAGAAGGTTCCTTGGGAATAAGTGACAATTTAACTCAACTATTTTGGCAGAGGTTTTTTTAATTGATTTTTTTATCCTTCATTATCTTTAAGGAAGATACATTTTGAGCAAATATATGAAAATAAAAAAATGACCCTGCTCACTTATCCTATATAACAAATTTGTGAAATGATGATAATGCAAATGTTATAAATGGGAAAAGACATCACTAAGGCTTAAGACTACAGTCTTGCCTGCCTAACTCAATGAATTTACTCATGAGAATAAGTGGGTGGGTGAGTGAAGAGGCATATAAAGCATATTGTATGGTGACTTTTTTTCTCAAATGATATATACTTGTATATTGGCGAAAGATTTTAATTTACTAGTATTATCAGTCGACTAACAGATTAATTAATAAGTTTAAGTATTGCTTCCAATATTGTAGCAACAGACAGTTGCATAAAGCAGAAGGAAGGGAAGAAAGAAGGAAAGAAACCAAAGGGAAAAAATATCTAGAGATTAGGAAATCCTCTTTCTGAAGATTTTTGTTTGCATAGTTGATGAGTATGAGCATGTTGATTTATAAGCTACAACAAGCATTGCCTAAAATTGAGGCTGAACAACCTAATAATCCATCCAATATTTTGGCCTTCAGTTCACATCGGCAGACAAGGTTTGTGCAATAGTCTGGGCCCTTCAACTTAATACACTCCTATTCACACCAAAAGCCTAACTTATCTATTATTGCATATTTAATAAACTGAACGGTCTTTAAGCAATTGTCAGTGCTCTGTGTATATTTGTGTGTGTGTGTGTGTGTGTGTGTGTGTGTGTGTGTGTGTGTGTGTGTGTGTGTGTGTGTGTAGTAGGGAGAGAAGAGAAACTGCAGTCTGGTTAATGACTATAAATTTTAACTCCTCACTAACATTATAAGAAAAAGGATATTGATCAAACAGTCTTGTGATTCACAAAATGCAAGAACTACGTCATTAAGTATATTGTTTCATTTTCTTTTAGGTTACTCAATACTTCAAGCTATTATGGAAACAGCAGGAGAAAAAAGCTGGCAAGTTAGTGCCATATGTGTGGAGAATTTTAACGATGCAAGCTACAGGCAGCTTTTAGAAGATTTGGACCGAAGACAAGAAAAGAAATTTGTAATAGATTGTGAAATAGAGAGACTTCAGAATCTATTAGAACAGGTAATACTTGCTTTTAATGCAACCAGAAACACATTAGCATTGCTTTAGAAGTAGACTCTCTTTTTGGCATTTATTCTGTCCTGTCTATCAAGAAGACATTTTCCTCATTTCCACTTTTATATATAATCTGCTAATTAGTATCAACAATTGCCTCCATTTTGAGTATAAATGGGAAATTCCAATAATACAGTGTTTTGATTCACCGAGGAAAATGAATGGAAGCAGTATATTCTAGGACTTAATGAAATATAATGGTGAAATACCTATTAGCTTAAATGTGGGTGAATATTGGTCACATATAAAGCAGGGACACAATTCTTCAAACAAAGGAGTCTTTAGAGAGCAGGAATGGATTCCCCCTCCCTTCATAAACTCTTTTGATAAATCTCTCTCGCTCACACAAATACATTTATTAACACTAAGATGTTAACTTCTAGAGATGCATACATTTACATTGTCAATACACTTGAAATCTGATTAAAGAAATGAATCTGCCATTGCCACTGTAAGTTTGGCTTTTTTTGGGGGGGAGGATACAATAATAATAGCACCAATATTTGCTTCCAATGAAGATACAAATCAGTATCACTAATAAATCATATTACAACACTAATTTATTGACAGAACAGATTGCCATAGCAATAGTTTGGAAGACAGTAGTGGGCATATATGCTAGCAGTCCCATTGTAATATGCCGTACAAAATTATTGGATTGTTAAATCAGTCCAGACAAACAGTCATGGAAGGGAGCTTGGAGGTCTTCTGCAGGAGATCCTATACAACGTCAGACAAATCGCTGTTTAATTTCTTCTTAAAAACTTCCAGTGATAGATACCCACAACTACTGGAGGCAAGACAATCCACTGATTATTTTTTTTCACTGGTAGGAAGTTTTTCAAAGATTGAGAGATCTTACAGAGTATCTTGTCTATATCAATTTAATTATCTCAATTTTAGAGCAGACTTGGAATTTTTCTGTAAACCAAAGAACAGTTAGTATTTTTTTTCACTAGTAGTTTCATAATTTCATTCCACTCAGCCTAGTTTTGGTAAATTGGTTGATTGAAAAGCCACATATATCCAATAATCAGTTACCAGTCTGTCTGAAACACAATCACATTTCATGCAACACAATTCAGCAAGCACAATGTGCAAGCACAATGTGATCTTACTATTCTCTCTCTCTCTCTCTCTCTCTCTCTCTCTCTCTCTCTCTCTCTCTCTCTCTTTCAATTGGTTATTATCTAATTACTACTATAGTAGAATTCAGTAGTGATCATACCTTTTTTTCGTTTTAAACTCAATTTTCTTTTCCATGTATATATTTTTTTCCCATTAGCTATTATTTTTATTAGAAAGCCAGTTTGTTATAATAGCTAATGGAATCAGCTTAGAAGCCAGAAGATCATGAGTTCCAGTCATATTTTAGGCACAATGCCATTTGGGTGATGTTGGGCCAGTCACTCTTTCTTAGCCCTAGGAAGGAGGCAATGGCAAACGAATTCTGAAATCTTGCCAAGAAAACTACAGGGGCTTGTCCAGCCAGACCAGGAGTGAAGACAGATTTAAGGCACCAAGTATACTGTACATCCATGCATACATATGTACATATGGGCAGAAAAATGCATTTTCATTATTACTTTGCAACACTTTTTCCTAAGTATTCTTCATTAATCAATAACCAGTGAATCTTCACCTTCTGTATGCTAACTGCAACATACCACAATCTCTATGGTTTCTTTGTTATGGAACACAAATATTGGGAAAGGCTTATAAACTCCATGTATTCATTCATTCAAATTTTTATCCATGTCTTCCTCTAAAAAAATTCTCAGAGCAGCTAACAAGAAATAATAAAGCTATGTTTGCCTTTAGATTTATAATTTAAAAGACACAACAGGGACTGGGAAGAGAGAAGGAAAATTGTGATTCTGACCTTGCCTGTAGTGCTGAAACAAGTCTAGCTGAGGGTCAGTGTAGTCCCATATTACATTTTCAGTCTGAGGTTTCAAGAAACTGGACTTAAGTGTTTGTTTATTTATTTAGCATATGGCATATATGTGGACTAGCAATATAAATTAACATTTCAACTAGATTAGTGGAACCCAATAAAATATAAATGTCAAAAAGATCTATGTTCAAATATCAATGTCTAGGCAATCTAACTATTGAACCACAGCACTGTTTATATTTAAAAAATCAGATACTAGAGTGGTATATGTTCTTAGCTTACAGCTGGTCACGATGTGATCTACAGTTTGACATGGGATCCCAAAGTCACATTGAGGGGAGGATACTATGCTCCATTTATGCAGACACCATGTGAGGTGGTAATCCTGCTCAGGATTGTCCAGTGTTGACGTGGTAGTTCAAAGTCTGACACCTTTTTGTGTGGTCATTTATATGTCTTCCTATAACTGGGCGTCCAGCTACCCATTTGGTTTTCCACTTGCAGATGTTGTGCAAGTGCCAGTAGGGGCTTCCTGGATTTGAGTCTTCCTGCTGATAAATGAGGAAGGTTGGCATGCACCGGTAGGAGTGAGTTGTTCATAATTTTTCTGTATTCTCCAGCATGATGGATAAAGAATCCACCAATGGTTATTTCAGTCCTCCTGCCCAATCAGACTAGGTTGTCAAAGTTGTCACACCAGTCCTTGACTGGTACCTCCCAGTTTCAACTTAGTCTGTTCGCCCATGAGGACGTGACAATTTTGACTCCCAAATTCTGACTTCTGACAGGTTTGATTCAGTGGAAATATTTTTCCTTTTACCTCATGGAACAACCTGCCTCCAGAAGTGGTGAATGCTCCAACACTGGAAGTTTTTAAGAAGAGACTGGACAGCCTTTTTTCTGAAATGGTGTAGGGTTCCTGCCTGGGCAGGGGGTTGGACTCGATGACCTCCAAGGTCCCTTCCAACTTTATTATTATTATTATTATTATTATTATTATTATTATTATTATTATTATTATTATTATTATTATTATTATTATCATCATCATCATCATCATCATCATCATCATCATCATCATGGTGTCATTGAGTGTGGTATCTAACTTACTAATATGGCATCTGTTAAACCATACACAGGGACACAATATTCTGCTGCAGAGTAGATCAACCCTAAGGCTGATGACCTGAGGGTGGCAACTGAAGCTTCCCATTTAGTTCTGCATAATTTCTGGAGTATGTTGCTGCTAGTATTTATTTTTGCCACTGTATTCTCTAGGTGTTTCTTGTAGGAAAGAGTCCGGTCCAATGTTACTCCAAGGTACTTTGGATGGGGATCATAGGGGAATAAGTTGTTGTTTAAGTAGATATTTCGGGGCTTCATATGCTAGTTTGTTGTTAAGATGGAAGCACATAGTTGCTGGTGCTAGGAGTGAGCATGCAGTCAGTGAAGAATTTTCTCTTTGGATAGGAGGCTGTCAGCCACCTCCATGTGTTTTTCTTGTACTGCTATGATTATAATTTAAGGGTTATAATCCTTCCTTAGCATACAACCCGGGGAAAAAAGAGACATCTGAAAGTGAAGCTTCCATTCCCCATTGACAGATTTTTTTTCTAAGACATCTAAACTACTGACTTTCAGTTCCTTTTGTGGCAGTGAATTCACGAATAAATATGCATTATATAAAAAGAAAATTACCCTCTCAATTATATTGCAGATTCTTGGATGATCCCAGGTTCTAGTCTAGAAGAACGGGACAAGCAAACTATTTCAAGCCATAATATTTTTTATTATCTTTACATTTTATGTAGCCTTTGTGCTGGTATGACAATCTTTTTGGAATACAACAAGTAGAATATTCTAGGGCTTGAGACTTGGCCTTTGAAGGTGAAAAATTTGCTTCCAGGTAGAAACTGTCAGAAGCTCTTTAAAACAGCTGCATCTTGATCCAGATGGATTAGCTTAAGGGGCTGCCAGTGCTTTGAAACACCTTCTCCCCTTAAATCTGAAGAATGGTACAGCCTGATGATAATCTTTATGGAGCGTCATTCATTTTTATAAAAACATTATGAGTGGCAAGTTTAATTTCAGGCTCTTCCTGGCAGTTCCTAACACGGCCTTTTTCATTGAGTTGACATTTTCAGTAAGTGTTCATCTTCTATGTCCTTCCCTAAATCCATTTCCTCAGCAATCACAGCTAATTCAGACTCAGACATCACGTATATTTTCTTAGAATTCCCTTGGCTTCAGTTTCCATCATTTATTCACATTTATTCTCATTTGCCATTTTGTAATCAGTCCCTAATTAAGGCTTTTAATAAGTTACTGTGCTCTGTAAGTATACCAAATGCAATAAAACAGTTCCAGGCTACTTACTAACTAAACTAAAATGATATTTCTAATGAGTTTTTTTTTTTAAAAAAAAATGAGAAATAGATAAATATGACTCTCATTCATACTTCAAATGGATGATGGTGCCCTTTAGTTTTGCTTCTCCATTTATTTCCTTTATTGATCAATAGTTTTACCTAAGAGTAAGTCCCATCAAATTCAGGAGGGCTAATTATACTAACATAGGATTGCAGTGTTATCCCTTTTCAGATGGGGTAGAAGGGAAGGAACATCCAGCACAGGCTGTCATCTTAACTACCAGTTTGATTTCTTATCAAACATTTTGGATATTTACAGTCTCTTTTTATTCTTGTAAGCAAATTAAGAAGGCCAATAGCTTTGTAGTTTTCACTGTCTTTTCATGTATGCTTAGTATTCATACATGTCCCTCACACAATTCTCTTCCCTGGTCAGCAACATTACAAAAGTTTGCACAAAGCAGAAAAGGAATAAGAAATAGTAAGTCAAAGGAAGTAAGTCATAAGATAAGGAAATATAAAAGGAAATACAGCTACATTTATTTTATACCAAACCATTCACGTACTT